CAAGACCAGTGGATCCAAGGAAGGAACAAGATGAATTCCATCTTCACTACAAATTTCAAGGAGGATTACTTCAAAAAGGAAAGAAACAACATGCTGAGACAGGGAAACTGAAATCAATAGTCTTACGGTGACAGATTCAATTGGAATAAGAAGAAAGTTCATTGGTGTATCAACAACATACTCCCTTGCTTTATGATGATATTTTGAGGGAGCGTAAATCTTCTGGCCTACTCGTATAGCCACAGAACTACAATGGCGCTGCTTTGTTCAGGAGAAATGATAGATTTGTCTCGCCGTGAGTTCTCACCTGGCCCACCTTTTTGATCCACAAGAAACACAGGCAAGATAGCAGCCAATGAGAGGATTGCTAGCTCTTAAACCAGCTCTATCTGACAGTAGGAACAAAATAGTAAGGTTGCGATGGAGACATATTTGATCTTCTTGCCATCATTACATAAATGAACAAAAAGTCCTCTTGTTAATTATCTTTCTATTATTTTTCCAGTCCACACCACAATATTTGTTATTTTGGTTTCCAACTTTGATTTGGAATCTAAGCAACTCTAACAGCTACCCATAAGAACAAATATTGATTTGACCAGCAAACGCTCCCAAATTTTCTGCCTCTGAAGCTATGCTAATTTGTTTTAACAGGTAAAAACTTCCAGATTTTATGAAGAAATTACAGGTAGCCGATGACCTTGTCCTTCACATAGGCCCATGGGCGTGTCTGGCCCTCGAATAGATCCTGGTTCTTTTGACAGGAAGTCAGAACAAAGTTTGAGTTTTTATGCTATTTCTTTACTAAGTTCTGGGCTAGTGGACTTACCTTGAAGAGGTTTTCAAACTCTACCTAGAAATTAAACCTTGCAGGTTGAGACAGTTTTATTCTCTTTTCACATCTTTTTTTCCTAATGAAAGGGTTTATTTAAGAACAGGTTCAATCTAGAAAATATGAAAAAAGACATAACTACTAGCCTTTCACAAGTGGGCACATGCCAGCACAAAGTTTCCTGGTATGGGTCGTGAGCACTGAGATTCCCCCAAACTGGCCTTACCCTTGTTACAATGAATTTGGGAGGTAACTGGGGCAAGGTCTGGTGAAAGTCCTGTAAAATAGGTCACCTACCACAAGTGAAAGGAGAGAAGTGACTCAACGGGTAGCTGGGAGCAGGGACGTATCACAATTCTGAGAGAATAGGATTTAGTGATTGTTACACAAGGAAATTGTGTCCAAAGACCCTTTCAAAGGCCTAAGAAAGAAGTCTTTGTTAGTGGGAGTGATTGAATCTGCCTCCGTTACCTTCTTTTACACATTATGGTATCCCGTGACACACCACGCACACCGTTTAGGGAGGTGAGCGTCATGTGATACAGCTTTATAAACACAAAGATGTAAGGTTGGTGTTCTGTTCCCAACTCCTGCCCTACTTGCTGGACCACATATGAAACATCACAGCCCACCCTGTTCTGGGCTCAGCTAATGCCTGGGCACACTTGAATGAATTAGGTACAGAACCTAGAGCAGCTGCCACTCGGCTTCTGTTATTTTTGTTAGGTCAACCTGTATGTTACCCCATCCTCATGTTTATTACCTGATTTCACTGTTTCTCTGAAGACATGGGAGCCCAGGAAAACACATCCTCCCACAGGCACTTTAATCCTGTGTTCCGTCTTTCAGTGAAAAGTCATTTCCAAAACACCCTTCAGTTAGACTGTATAAATGTCTACTTACCAAGGTTATTTTAAAAAGAGTATAATTTTGTTTTGAAAGTGAGTTTAAAATATGTATACATTGAACAGAAGGCATTTCTTGAGACGGATTTTATATCGTTATTCTCCCAGTTTTCAAGTTCATTCGTGATAGTGGTCAGAGGCATGCTTTAACCCTTTCAGAGAGCAAAAGTCCAATTGCACATTATGCCAGTAATGACTGAGATTTCATATTTACGTCACCTCTCATCTACTTGTTGAAGTACTATTTTGCATGATTTTGCTTCTCGTAGCCCCTTCAAATAGTCGGAACATTTAGCCTATTATTTTGATGAATTGTTTTTACTTCTTAAGAAAAGCTAGTAGTATCGTTTTACAAACGAGACAACGCAGAGTCACAGAGCTGTATAACCTGTCTGAAATCAGACAGCGAATTGCATCAGAAGCAGAGATATGTTTTGAAGGGGCTGACTGACCCCAAGCAAAAACAAAGCATTTCCTTTTTAAGGTAGATCACCAACTTAGTCTCAACAATGCCGAAAAATAAAATAATTAAATTAAAACACGAGTTGTTATCCAGTTTTCCACAGAGTGACGGTTGCCACAGAATGTTTTGACATCAGTTAAGCAAAATAGCAGTGCAGTGGTCCCCAATCTGGGGTTGATTTTGACCCCATGGACATTTAGCAACATCTGCAGATATTTTCAGTTGTCACAACTGGCAAGGCAGAGGATGCTCCCAGTAGGGAGCTAGTGGGTAGAGGTTAGGGATGCTGATAAACATCCTACAACGCACAGGACAGGCCCCCACAGCAAAGAATTAATTCCCTGGCCCAAAATGTCAATCATATCCAGGTTGAAAAACCCTGTGGTAGCATATTTCAATGGTACTTTTGCATAAAAAATTAAAATCCCAAAACTGAAAAGTGAGATATTTAGAAGATAATTGCTCCCTTGAACTATTTACTAAAAATTTGACAGTTAAGGACATCTCATTTTAAGATGATTTCAGAAACAATTAACCGTTTATAACAATTCATCAAGGGACACTTCCTGTGGGTCTATTAATACATGAAGATTTCAGAGTGAGATTGACATAGAAAATATTTATCCTACGTCAGAGAATTCAGCTCTGATGATAAGCTTCCTAAAAATGTAAGTTTTGTTTCTTCCAGAGGATCCTTCATTTTCCAAACTCTTTCTCTTGTCTTTTCATTGCAGATGTTTTGTAAATAAGTCTGGGATAAAATGCAACAGAATCGAGCCACGGTAAGCCCCTTCTTCACTTTGAGGGTGATCATGAGAACCATTCTTTCTTCTGATTCATCCCTTTTCTTTGCAGATTGGAAGCGCTTACCGGAATAAGAGAAGAACTTAGTCCCCAAAGCCCTCTCAATGTTTGGATTAATTTCCTTTTTTCAGAAGGCCAAAAAGGACACCAATTAAAGCCAGTTATGGACTATATTCAGACTTTCCATATTTTCACCCCATTCCAGTAAAAGTTCCCCTCCAAAGAAATTTGGTCGAGAGATGGAATGAAAGAATGAGAGACGTTTTATTTTCTCTCCTAGATGTTGGCAGGACTTCACTCCTACATGTCTGAGGTTGTTTTCATCTTGCAAAGTACTTTGATATTTGTGAATGTGGCTACATGGCTTAAAACAAGACCAGTGATAACTCATGCTAATTATTCAGCTTGTATATTAATGCTTGACAAGAGAGAAAAGAACTTTTTCTTCCTTGATGATGGTTGTAAAAATTAAGAAACGCGGGAGGAACGGAAAGATCTGTGTTCTTCAGAGTGATAAGCTTCCATTTCACAGAGTTCTTGCATCTAAATCATCGCAGGAACCCTCCAACGGATGTATTCACCCTTTCAGACTTCTGGTCCATGCAAGCCAGGAAAGACTAGGCTCTGTATACCCCGTTCCCCTACCAGGCCTGCGGGTCTCACCCTTTTTGGTGCTGGCTACCAGTCTGAAATAGGATGAGAACCATCCCTTTCACTCTGCCTATGATCTTTATTTCTAGTCAATATGAACGTCTACGTCAGACATTCCTATGATAATTCGACAGTCCCTTGCTAGATCTTACAGAAGCTCCTAATAGAAATTGGGGTTGGGGGGCATCCCATTTAATCTGTTTAAACTTCCGTTGGATATTTGCAAGTTCAAATAGTTTAAATGTGATGTCCTGGAATATAAACAGAATATTAGTGAAACTATCTTTCCTAGAGAATAAAACAATGAGGTTATTTTAGGGGTGACGAGTAAATAACCAAGTTGTTTACATTTTAGTAAATCAATAGGTTGCTTTGAAGTGGGTCTGGAATAACAAGTATATATTTCTCTTCAGTTCGGTCCCTGGAATGTAGCTATTCCCTTTGAAAACTGAATGGCAGACCCTAGAGAGGAAAACAGTGTGAGGAGGCCATCTGGAAGGGCAGGAAGGAAAATTTGGGGGAAGCTGTCAAAAACTCTCTGGAGATGAGCTCCCTTGCTCCGAGTCCAGCTCACCCTCTCACAGTCTTCACATTCAGCTGCACAGTGTCCCTGCCCCACCCCCACCCCTAGCCTTACCCTGGACCTTACTGAGGGGCAGGAAGATCTCTTCTTCGTATGAAAGATCTGGATGTCTAAGGCAGGCCTGAGCAAAACTAGGACATCGGATTCAGACCAGCCTCTCACCTGCTATGTTAAAGCCATACTCTGTCAGAAAGTAAATCCCACATTGTAATTCCCGCATAACTGACTTTCTTCAGAAGAGATTACATCCAATTTGGTGCCCGAGTGGTTGATATCCAGGTGAGTTTTATCTTCTCATGAATTGGTGCCAAATTCAGAATACCACATTACAGCATTTGCCAAAGGATAATATAAAGAAAGAAAGTGAGCAATGTAGAATACCGCTCCTTAAGTCGCATTCTTCAAAGAAATGCAGACAATATGTCATAATACTACAACACAAATACCTGTCACTACTCCATCCAGCTGTGACAGTGTTCCCATGATAGCATTAACAGATGTGTTTGTTGGAATTTGGCTTGTTGTTCCCTCGTTTTTAGGTATTTTTAATGGGGCACTTTCTATTTCCTTCTTCAGAATGATTCCCTCGCCCATGATTATCTTTGATATCCTTAACAGTGTTAAGGAGAGGTCCTGGAATTTCATCAAAACCCCCAAATGATTATTTTAGCTCTTTCAATTTTTTCCTCTTCAAAAATCATTCAACAGAGCAACTAATGAGTAAACATATAGGCTGACTAGAGATTCACTATTTCTCTCCTTTATTCAGAAGTAATAAAAAAAATTAGAAGAAAAAAGAATAACAGTAAAGTCGAGGGGAAAAAAGCTAATGACCAAATCACTCAATAATCTTCATAGACTTGAAACTCAATTGTGAAGGAAAAAAATATCAGCTGAATCTTCCAAGTGTCAGGGATTCATTTAATCTTCACAATGGAGTCAATGCCTGTGAGGTACAAATGAGGAAAGAAGAGCTGGTAAGTGCCTGAGCTGAGATTGGAAGCTAAGTTTGTTTCTCTTTTACTGGAAAGACTAAACTCTCTGCTTTCATGCTGCTGCTTCAAGAGTTGGTTGCATAGACCATAAAGCCATGTAATAATCTTGATGTCTGTGCATACTATTTAGGAAGATGCTTCTATGCATCTTATCTGCATCCTAACAGAAGCAGCCCTATCCAGAGAAAAGGGTCTCTGTGAGTAGAGTTTCAGCTTTCAACATGCGCTCCAGTCACCGGGGGGTTTTGTTGAAAGGCAGACTGACTCAGGAGCTCTGGGATGAGGTCCGAGGTTCTGCATTTCTAACAAGTTCCCAGGTGATGCTGAAGCTGTTGACTCAGAATCTACGTCTTAAGCTGCAGGGAGCCTGTTAGAAGAATAAGGAGCTGCAGTGCCTGGGAAGAGGTTTAGGACAAGAGGGCCAAAGGAACAGACCATTATTAAAAGTAAAACTTGGCCCCCCAAGGGCAATTCCTTCTGTGGATTTCAAAGCCATTTGCAAAACACCTTAGGTGTACTCTTCTGGTTGTCTTTTATCACCAGAAGGCTTGGGTTTGCTACCCATGCACAGGTCTGCTGAGGTCCACAGCTGTTTTGTTTGGACAGGATGGTGGCGAAGTCTGAGCTTGCACACAAAGGTCTTGTCGTCAGCACGGGCCTTTCTCTGACAGCTGTTTTCCTTCCCAGCCCCAGGGCTGTGGCTGAAGGAAAGGGAAAGCGATTGCTGAAGAAAGAAGTGGTGGGATCAGCAAGCTGTGGCCATGCCTGCCTTGAAGACCTGTGAGAGTCTGGCGCGCACACACACACCAGATTAGAGATCCAATCCCTAATTTCATCTGTGCACTAGAATAAGTCTAGAATTCATAGTTTAATTAATCTGTTGGCTTTGTGCATAAAAGCTAGTGTGGAAGCACGGACTAAATTATTTCCTGTAATAAAACAAGAAATTTCTGTAAATTACAATGGCTACTTTTCAAGTCCTACTGCTGAATCTGCTGTGTGCCTGTGTGTCCAGGACTAAACCACATGAGTCCCGCCAGCATGAGGTTAGGCATATGCAATCAGCATTAGGCATATGAGTGCCACAGCTAGTAGAATTGATAAAAATCAGGGTCGTTGTCAGCTGTGTAAATTGAGAGGAAGAGGCGCCTTCAGCGACTTCCTTTGGGGAAGGTTTGTTTTGTGCTGGTGAACTGCTCCCCCTGGTGGATCAGGGATTGACACGTTTGTGACTCCATTCTGTAGGGAACAAACATGCTCTGGAGAAAGCAGGGCAGTTTCAGGTTTACAGATATATCCTTCAGGAAAAAGCTAACTCTCAGAGCATCAAAAATAAGTTGTACGCCTAACATGGCCCCTGACTGATTTTGAACACAGCCCTTCTGCAAAGTGCACATGGTTTGTCCTCCCACACTGTGGGCTTTGCCATCTGTATTCTTATTAGTATGGTTGTTTTGAAATCGTGGCTCTGTATTGATTTGAGAGACGTGGAAAACTCTGAAGTTCTACATTTTATTTTATTCCCCTTTAACAATAATTCTTGACCTTTACATGGGGAAAAACCCCACAGCGGGGGAACATTTTGTCATTTTGTTGTGACATCATTTGTTTATCTTACTTCCTGTCTACTTTTAATTCCTGCCTCTCAGAGGTGGTCTTGTTGATTGTGGTTAATTTATGCCTAGATTCCTTGCTCCACATACCTGCTCTCAAGATAAAGGTAAGTTTTACGATTTTCCAAGGATCTTCTTTCTACCTTCAGTATACATTTCAGGGGCAATATAGATAGTTTATGTCGTTTTTGCTAAAGAGTATTTCTGTATGCTGTGCCGTGCACAGAGAGGAGATTTTGCAGGTCAGGCAGCAATGAGAATCTATGGCAACTCTCTCACTCTTTCGAACATTCCGCAACGAGTCATACTGCAGCCTCAGTCCAAACAGTTTATAAGCTAAATAAGGAGGTATTTTAAATATTTATTTAACAAGACATATTTTAAATAACCTACATATGTAAATAGAGCGTTCTTAGCCTGTACATTATTGCCAGGTCGATTCTCATGTTCTGATATATAATTAATTACTGGTTTATTCCTCTGTAAACCGAAGCAGGGAATAAATCAGCGTTGCCAGGTCACTGATGTCAGCAAAAATTGTAATACCCTCTTGTCAGTGAGTCTGTGAAAGGGGAATTGAAACTGTGTGAAATCTGTGGTGTTGGTGCGCCAAAGTGTGTCCAAAAGGCAAGTTTCTATCCCAGTTTTAGTGCTTTTTCCTGATGTCTAGACTTATTCTCGGTGCTATATAGGTGGGTGTGGAATGCACATTTTCTAGTTTGAAACAAGCTCAGAAAGCACATGCAGTGTGATCTATGCATTTTCTAAGGTAGGATCACCTAAAGTAAATGCAAATCATGAGAATTTTAAGCAGCATTATGATATTTAGAAACAAGAACAACACAAATACCAGTAATTTGGGTAATTTGTTGGTAGTTGAAAATATGAATGTTTTTAATGGTTAAGGAAAATCTATGCATCCATTTTCAATTTTATGAAAGGAAAATATATACATAGTGTTTTCTTTTCCCCTTAAAATGAGCATCAGTCTTTTAAATATTTCCACTGAAAACTTCTAAAGGATGAAAGCGATGCACTTCAATTTGTCATGAGTATAAAGATCTCTCTAGAGAAGAAAAACAAAAAACATACTATCTTTTCTTTTTAGACTTAGTTTCTGACGATGTAAGATGAGTAATCATCTCAAGTACCTCAGCAAATTTTTGGTCTTGGTTAACCATGAGACAAGTGTGTTTCATTTAAACATAATACACATGGCTTACCAACAACCCAACACAGAGTTCTGATTCCCAGTTCTGTGAATTAGCTTGCCAACTTAATTCTAGACAGTGGATTAGCAATATTAATTATCTTGGCCAATGGCCAAAACATCTGGAAAATTTAGTGTGGAAAATCATTTAAAATAATTCGTTCATGCCATCATGACAAACCGACTCATTGGTTAACTGACCTTTTCACTATCACCCAGTTGTTTGGCCACACTTTAAAACATTCCATATTAAATTTGCATCAGATCCTTTTGCTATTCTGCATTGGGAAGAAGCATCAAACCTTTGGGAAAAGAAATATGAGCAACAACAAAATAGATTGAATTTTGTGGTTGGAATGATCATCAGATGCATTCTTAGACACGGAGTCCATCTCTACATTTATGGTATTATTTTGGTGCTTAGAATAAGTGCCCTTTTTTGTAGTCAATAGACGTCAATTAGTCTTAGCAGCTTCTGAACTGAATGTTGTTATGCAGAAACTTAAAGAAGGAAATCAAAGGTTAAATGTTGCTGATCCACCTATCCTCCACGTTTCCTCTGCAATGTAGCCTCATGAGGTGTCAAGGGCATATGCAGAAGGGCTCAGAGAATTGCTTCTTTAGGGATTTGAGATGAATTTTCAGATTCACCAAAAGTAATGTATTAGTTTTTAAAATGAAAATGTTGATGTCGTTTAAGCCTCCCATGTCAATATGTAAAAAGAATTTTCTCCTACATATAAATGGTTGCAATAAGACACTTAGATCATTTTCTCATTAAATATTATTACCACTGATACTTCTGTTTTTACCCTGGTAAATCAAATGTCTCTTTTAAAAAGTCCTGCTAAAGGAGGAGTACACATAATTTCCTCTATTCCTCCTGCCACGTACAGATAAAACCCTGGGAAGTATATAAAACAAACATAAGAAGACTCTGAGAGGTGGAGAGAACAAGGCAGACTGACCAGGGACCTCAGGACCCAAGAAATGATACAATGATGAGTTCTCCGAGTTTTTATTTTTTATAGATTGGACCTTGAACTGAAAAAACCAACAACTCTGAAACCATAATAGGTGCAGACAAGAAAAGATCCAACAAAAGCTTGCTCTCTCTAGCCACGGGACCAGGAAAAGGGCAACTTATCAAGACAGAAAACATTTAGACAATAATCACTCTACTCTAGCAAACACCGTCTAGATACCTAGATAGTATCCAAGGCTATGAATAGGGAGCTGGGACTCTCATCCCTGCCACACAGTACAGATTCCCACCCATCTGGTGTCAGTGGAGGCTGTACAGGGAGCAGTAACAAGGCACTCCTACTCGTCTCATATAGGGAAGTATTACTGGAGGACTAATGGGAAGTGGGAATTCCCACCTCTGCCCAACAGTAGTGAAGAGCATCCTTCCTCTCAGTTGTCAACAGAAGCCAAGTGGGGACCCTGGACTTCTACCTGGCAGTAATGGGGGGGGGGGGGGGTGAACCACCCTTCTTCTATCAGAATAATGTCAGAGGAAGCCAGTTAAAACAGAAGGTTTAAATAAGATCCAGAGTCTCATAACATATTACCCAAATGCCCAGGATTCTATCAAAAGTCACTCATCACACCAAGAACAAGGAAGAACTCAAACTGGATGGTAAAAGACAAAAATTATATGCCGACATTGAGATGACACAGATGTTAAAATTATCTGACAAGATTTTAAAAGCAGCTACTATAAAATTGCTCCAATGAGCAACTGTGAATATTCTTGAAACTAACAAAAAAAATAGAGCTTCAACATCGAAATAGAAAGTCACAACAAAAAATAGAAGATATAAAGATGAACCAAATGGAAAATTTTTGAACTGAAAAATGCATTAAAAACTCAATGCATGGGCTCAACAGCAGAATAGAGGAGATAGTGGCAAATATCAGCAAACTTTAATATAGAAATATATAAACTGCCTAATATGAACAACAAAGAGACAATAGACTGAAAAGAAAAATAAGCAGAACTTCAAGGGCCTGTGGGACAATAACAAAAGATCTAACGTTTGCATTACCAGAATCCTAGAAGGAAAGAAGAAGGCAGCCTTAAAAAAATTATTCTAAGAAATAATGGCTGAAATCACCATAAATTTAGCAAAAGACATAAACTTACAGATTTAAGAAACTGAGAGAATCTTTAACAGGATAAACTCAAAAATATTCTTTCTGAGGTACATCGTAGTCAAACTTCTGAGAACTATAGACAAAAAAAAAAAAAAAGCCCTTAAAAGACAATGAAAAAAAGATACCTTACTTATAGAAACAAAAACAATTCAAATGACTTTGGACTTCACATCAGAAATCAGAGAGGCCATGAGGAAGTGGCACAACATTTTTCAAGTTCTGAAAGGAAAGAACTGTCAACCTCAAGTCCAATATCCAGTGAAATATTTTTCAGGAATGAAGGGAAATCAAAATGTTCTTAGTTGAAGGAAAACTAAGAAAATATGTTGCCAGCAGACCTACCATAAAAAAATGACTAAAGAATTTCTCTAAACAGAAAGGAAATGATAAAAGAAGGAACTCTGGATCATCAGGGAGGAAGAACCAACACAATAAACAAAAATATAGGTAAATATAATAGGCTTTTCTTCTCCTGTTGATTTTTTTAAATCATGTTTGAGGGTTAAAGCAAAAATATAACTCTCTCATGTGGTTCTAAATGTATGTAGAAAAATTATTTAAGAACTATTCTATGAAAAGGTGAGGATAAGTGACTTAGAAGGTAAGTCTTCTACACTTCATTCAGATGGGTAAAATGAGAAGATTGTGATAATTTATGTACATATAATGTAATCCCTAGAGCAACCACTGAAAACGCTATACAAAGAGATCTTGCAGGACATTTGGTCCTGTCCAAAACGTCCATAAGATGTTTAGTCCATGCCAAAAAGTCTGCTATTTGGTCCTGTCCAAAACTATTGGCATAGACCAAATATGCTCATGGATGTTTTAGACACGACTAAATGTCAAGGAGCTTTTGGCGTGGACCCACTGTCCGCATGGACATTTTGGATAGGATCAAATATGACCAAATATGAAGGACATTTTGGCATGGATAAAATATGTGATGGATGCTTTGCACAGAACCAAATGGTCCTGCAAATATGAAGGATCTTTTGGTGTGGACCCAATTTCTCCATGGATATTTTGCACAGGACCAAATATGACCAGATATCAAGGACGTTTTGTCATGGACCAAATGTCTGCTAATTCAGAGATACACCCAAAAACATAATCAATAAAAATGGAATTATAAAAAAAAAGATAATTCAATAACCCATGGGAAAGCAGAGAAAAATAAAACAAAGAAAAACAAAAAATAAATTGATGTCAGACTCAAGCTCTAATTTCAATAGTTATATTAAATGTAAAATGTCTAAATATACCAATTAAAAGACAGAGATTGGCAGAATGGATTAAAAAACATAACCCAACTATATGCTGTCTGCAAGAAACTCACTTCAAATATAAAGATACAGATAGGTTGAAGTAAAAGGAAAGAAAAAGATATATCATGCAAACATTAGTCTATGTAATAACAAAAGGGTCAATCCATGAGGAAGACTTAGAAATCCTACATGAGTATTCACTGAACAATACAATTACAGAACATACGAAGCAGAAACATAAAACTGAAAGGACAAGTAGATAAATTGACAATTACAATTAAAATAACATACAGTTGCATCCCTCTCTCAAGAACTGATAAAACAACTAGATAGGAAATCACAAAGAGTATAGAAGAACTCAACAACACTATCAGCCAACAGGATCCAATTGACATTTATAGAACACATCATGTAATGACAGAATAATGCACCTTCTTTCCAAGTGCTCACAGAACATATACTAAGATAAACCATATCCTGGCTATAAAACAAACCTCAACAAATTGTGGGACACAGCTAAAGTAGTGATGAGAAAAATCTTTCTCTGCAACAACCCTATTAAGAGGATGAAAAGACAAGCTACATACTGGGAGAAAATATTTGCAAAGCACACATCCAATAAATAACTTGTATCTATAATATATAATGAACTATCAAAACTCAATAGTTAGAAAATAAGCACAAGAAAAGATGTCTAACATCATTAGACATTAGAGAAATACAAATTAAACCCACTAGTAGATGTAACTGTATTCTACACATCTGAATGACTAAAATAAACAATAGAGAAAATACCAAATGCTGATAAGCATGCAGAGGAACTAGATCACTCATATATTTCTTACAGGAATATAAAATGGTACAACCACTCTGGAAACTAGTTTGGAATTTTTTTAAAAAGCATAAACATGTGACTCTGGCCCCATGGCTGAGTGGTTAAGTTTACACTCTCCTCTTCAGCAGCCCAGGGTATCATGGGTTCAGATTCTGGGCATGAACCTAGCACCGCTCATCAAACCATGCTGAAGCAGTGGCCCACATAGCAAGGCCAGAAGGACCTACAACTAGAAAATACAACTATGTACTCGGGAGCTTAGGGGAGAAGAAGAAAACATTTAATTTTTTTTTTTTAAAAAGTGGTTAAAAAAAAAAAAACTAAACATGCAATTACCACATGATCCAGAAATTGCACTCTTGATCATATATACCAAAAAAATAAAAACAGATATTCACACACAAACTTGTACATGAATGTTTATAACATTTGTATTTGTAATAGCCAAAAACTAGATACGACTCAGATGTCTTTCAATGGGCAAATAATTAAACAAACTGTGGTCCATGGGTACCAATGAAAAGGAACTAATGGTCGAAACGTGTAACAACCTGTGTCAGTTGCCAGAGAATTATGGTGCATGACAAAAGCCAATTTCAAATGTTACATACTACATGATGCCATTTGTATAACATTATTGAAATCACAAAATTATAGAAATGGAGAACAGGAGTTAATCAGGAGTTAAGGAGGATGTAAATGTAGGAGGGAGGAAGATGTGTGTATAAAAGGGCAAGATGAAGGATCCTTATGACGATAGAGATGTTCTGATTCTTGACTGTATCAATATCAATATCCTGTTTGTTATATTGTACTATTGTTTTGCAAGATGTTACCATCGAGGGAAACTGGGTAAATTATCACTCTGTATTTTTTTGTGTCTGAGAAAGATTGGCCCTGAGCTAACATCTGTTGCCAATCCTCTTTTTTTTTTTTTTTTTTTTTTTGCCTGAGGAAGACTGGCCCAAAGCTAACATCTGTGCTCTGTGCTAACATCTTCCTCCACTTTGTATGTGGGACACCACCACAGCATGGCTTGACAAGTGGTGTGTAGATCTGTGCCCAGGATCCAAACCTGCAAACACCAGCAGAAGCAGAGTGTGTGAATTTAACTACTACGCTACCAGGCTGGTCCCTCTGTATTATTTCTTATAACTGTATGTAAATCTAAGATTATCTCAAAATAAAAAGTTTAATTAAAAAAAAGTCCTACAAGACTTATAATCTAACAGCTCTATTTCTCTGGACTAAAAGTAAAAAATATTTGCCCATGACACTTGAATCCTATGTAACCTTGGACACGTATATTCTGCCACTCTGAGCCCACTTCCCTGTCGGCTAAGTGGGTGTAACAACACCTGCCTATTTATTTCACCAGCTGTCAACACAATGAAATGAAAATGGAATGATGATTTTGAAAGTATTTCCTAACCCTTCAAGTTCTGTAAGAAAAACAGCTAACGTTTATTGGACGCTAACTGTGTGTCAGGCTCTAAGTTAAATGTGTTCCTTGCTGTATATCTATATGGATATATTTTATGCAAAACTTTTAAAAGCATGGTTCCTGTACCTTATTGGCAGAGTATGTGACATTTAGAGAAATTCCCACCTCTCATGATATCTTTCTCAGACTTTCAAGACTTCCCAGGTCCAGAGTCTGTAGAACTCTATCTCTGTCTTCTTCAACACTCTCAACTCCAGGGAACTGCTCACTCTCCTTTTCTTAAAAATGCCAAACCAAACCTTTCATCTTGGCCCCTCACCCTCCTTTCCCTTGCTTGTTGCACACGGCCTAACCAGAAGAGCCACCACCAAGCCACAGCCTCCCAGCTGTGCGTTTCTCCCTTTGCACTACCTCATTTCCTAGGAGAATTGGGCTGTGGGGCTTGGTCCTTTTCTCCTTACAGCATCTCCTCTAATATTGTACCTGTGACAGGAAAAAGACAGAAGAGTTTGTAGCTGACATGTCAATGGTTTTTTATCATACTTCATTTATTATCACTATTTTACAATTGAGAAAATGTTAGTAAACTACTGAGAACATACAGCTGTGTTAATTTAGGATACTTAGGAAATATTTAATTAACAAAGGAAAGAATACCCCACATTTTGCATGGAATTTTTCTGGTTTCCGCCATGAGACTATGTTACTAAAAACCCATCCATTTGTTTATTTACTTATTTTTTTATTCATTCATTAATTCATTTAATTACGCATTCGGTAATGACTTAACACCCACTAATTGCAAGGCTCTGTGCTAAACCACGAGGATATGAAAATGAGTAAAATATAGTCTGGAGAGACACATGTGAAAATAGTAATGATGGGAATATGGTTCACTACCCAAGAGGTACCATGGGAACACAGAGAAGGAAGCCCTTCACCGTGGAGCCTCCAGGTACCTAGAGAAGGTGGCAAACTCAGATGCATTCTCGGGCCAGGCAGGTAACAGATTCCTGTGGTGGGGAATACAGGGCACTGTTCTGACCAGATCTGGTTTAACAAATGTATAGAAATGGACCTAGCATTCTGGGGCCTAGGATCATTATGCATAATGATAATGATATCCTGTGGGTTCCACCTTCAACACACAGCTCACACCTGACTGTTTGTCTCCCTATGTAGTACAACCCTCCTCATCCAGGGCCCCCTTATTTTTCCTCAGGTCAAGTGCAATAGGCGCCTATGTAGTGTCCTTGTTCTCCTCCTGCCCTCCACAGTCTTTTCTCAGAAACCAGGGGGAGACGGAATGCATAAGTAAGTTCACACTGCGTCTGTATTCAATGACTTCCCATGTCACTCAAAGTTAAAGGAAAGCCCTTACCTTGGTTTGAAACCACACTTCTTAGCTGAACATTAGAACATCCTGGAGAGTTTCTGAAACGTGTCAAACAGCTGTCCACCAGTCCCTAAAGGTCTGGATGCCCTAAGGTGGTGTCCAGGCTGCAGACATTCCATCCTCTCCCTCCCTCACCTGCTTTAGTCAACTCCAGAGTTAGCTTTCGGAGAGACCTTCACTGACAGCGCTGTCTAAGCGTCACTCTTTATCTTCTTTCCTTCTTTCCTGTCCTTCATCGTACCCTTCACAATCTGCGTGTGTACTTATGGGCTTAAGTGCCTATAGCCCCCTCCTCCACCAGAATAGAGGCCTTTAGGTCAGAGACTTTACCTACTTTGTTCATTTGTCACTCTATCCCCAGTGCCTATAAAAGTGCCTGGCACAGAGGAGGCATTACCTAAATAAATTTTAAAATAAATTGTATAGACAATGATGAGTTGAGGAAGGGTTTAACACATTCAAGGGACATAGATTGAGACAAAGGAAACAGGCAACAGGAAATGATGCGGGAAAGAGGAGGAAGCCTTGTAAAAACTGAGGAGCTGAGACAGTTTTCCTTCAGAGGATGGGGAACCTCAGCCGTTTGAAACAAGAGCCTTCACAACCAGATTTGTATCTTAAGGAGCTCACTCTTGCTACATTTTGGGAGTGAATGAGTCCAAAATAGGGTTAAGACGACTAGAAATACCTGTTAGCAAACTCTTCTAATCATAATGAGAAAAGTCTGAAGAAGATATGATGCATTGAACACCACCGTATGGAAAGAAGTGGAAACTGAGCCACACACGTGGGTTTGTTTTGTCTAATTTAGTGACAGATGTAACTATAAAAGAGCAAATTGTACCTTGCATTTTATCCTTTATAATTCACTTCTTCTCTCTTGCAAAAGCTCACCTTTGTCTCTCCGGTTCTCTATTCTGGTTAAACAAATCAAATTAAGGCAGGCTTAAAAATATACACTTAAGACATCTCCAGAAACCAAGCAGAGGTCATTTCAGCCCTTCTGGGCTCCATTGTGCTGGTGCTCTATTGCCCATATGTGACACGAGTAATACGTGTGTCTGCTCCTTCACAAGCTTGCCTCATCGGCCATTCCACACAGTTATTATCCTCCTGTGAAAAAACGCTATGTAACCTCTGTGGCTGTTCTAAATCTCTTCTATTTCCTATTTATGCTCCATTGTCCTATAAGCCGTTTGAAGCCAAAAATAGAACGAAGGTATGATCTTAGCACAACCTCTAGCGATTAATTTTATTACTGTTTTTTCCAACAGAATAAACTCACGAAAAAATAAGAAAAGCTTCATCTGTGAAAGAACCCCCAAATAGACCTCAACCTCTGACCCTTCGACTCCCTCTAAACTTGCTAACAGAGTATTGAGTAGAGTCCCTCCCCTTCTCCCCCACCCCCCATTCTTTCAACCCAATATTACTCTGGTTAAAGAAGTAAATCTAATTAAAGGAGCATGGGAAATGGAAGCCGTTTTGTGAGTTAAGGAAGCTGGATCTGTGTAACTTTCACTAGTGATTGGGCTTACAAGATGGAAAATTCCTTAGACTGCTAGGCAAAGTGCTCTCAACGTTGTTGAAACATCTGGTTTTCTTTGTGTAAAATCTTTTCCATGAGGTGGGCGAAGATTTTTATTCTAATTGAATTTGTAGTTAATTCCAGATAAAGATGAGTTTCTTTTCGCTGATGAGGCTCAAATCAGGGGTCCCAGCCCCACTGCTGGAAGCCCATTTGTGCTCAAAATTAATCAAAAGAAGTGGTGGGTTGTTTGGCTCAAGTGAGCCTTGATTTGTTTCTATTTTTAGGGCAGAAGGACATTTTCTGGTGCCGTCGATTCCTGACTTGGTCTTTTGAATCCTGTGTGATAGAGAGTGAAGGGCAGACTCTTGTGTCTTAAGGGCAGTATTTCTAACCAATGAAGCAACGGCAGGGTTGGGCTTTGATTTGAAGACGGCTTACCACCCTCACTGTGAATGCTTATTTGATGTTAATTGATCCTAAACAATTTGTTCACGATCCTAAACCATTTAAAAGAAACTAAGGAGTCAAGCGCTTCAATATTTGTTAAAAAAGAAAAAAACTAATACATGGATGAACAAAAGAAAATATGAGTGCCCTTGCCAAGCCACCTGTTTGATAGCCTTCTGCCTGTAGGGGTAGCCTTTTGGAACCGATGTTTTCCACGAGTTCATATTTTGGACATTATGAAATAAAGCAAGACTATTAAATTGGAATTAGTTTCTTTCTTTTTTTTTGTTTTTTTTTGAGGAAGATTAGCCCTGATCTAACATCTGCTGCCAATCCTCCTCTTTTGGCTGAGAAAGATTGGCCCTGAGCTAACATCTGTGCCCATCTTCCTCTACTTTATATGTGGGACACCTACCACAGCATGGCTTGCCAAGCGCTGCCATGTCCGCACCCAGAATTCGAACCGGCGAACCCTGGGCCACCAAAGCAGACGTGCAAACTTAGCCACTGCACCACCAAGCCGGCTCCTGCAATTAGTTTCTTTATTTCTTTATCAACCAACCCTGATAAGTGAATGGACCCTCCTCCTCTCTTCCTCCTATAGAACTTTATTAGGGACTGTACAATAGAAATTAAAACCAGGACGGAGACCCAGAAGCCAGAATAAGAAGCAAATTTAGGCCCTTCACAGCTCATCAGGTGGCCTGGAATCTATCCCTGTCCCCTTTCAGGTCACATAACAAAGCTAACTTCCCATATTTTCCAGAGGCTTTGGACCTAGTGGGGAAGCATCCCCATCTCTCCCCCAAGGTGGGGTAGCAATGTCAATCAAAAGCCATGGGCACAGACTTTAAAGTAATCTTTGCGTTTTCAAAGCTGCTAATATCGATTCACACTTGCTAAGGATTTTTCATTCTTACCATGCTTAGACCCAGAGCCTAGATTTTAACTCTTCCTCCTTGTGGGATCTGCCCTGATTCTTCCAGCTGAGTTAGTTGTTTTCTTCTGGACCTCTTAATAAACAGAATGTATGTTTATCTACTATTACACTCTTTTATCCATTCTTGATTTTTATACACATGCACTCTCCCAAGTCTTCTGCTGTTTACCTGAGCAATTCAAGGGCAGAAGGAATATGACTAATTTATTCCTAAAGTTTAGTAGACACTCAAAAAATGATTTTTTAGGGGCCCACCCTGTGGCCGAGTGGTTAAGTTCACGCACTCTTTTTCGGTGGCCCAGGGTTTTGCCAGTTGGGATCCTGGGAGCGGACCTAGCACCCCACATCAAGTCACGCTGAGGTGGCATCCCACATAGCACAACTAGAAGGGCCTACAACCAGAATATACAACTATGTACTGGGGGGCTTTGGGGAGAAGAAGAAGAAGAGAAAAAAAAAGAAGGTTGGCAACAGATGTTAGCTCAGGTGTCAATCTTTAGGGGAAAAAAAGATTTTTTAATTAATGAACTTAAATAGCCAAGTTGCAAGCCATCATGTGTGATAACAAGAAATGTTGGTTGTTTTAGGTCAAATTAAATATGGTGAGAAGAGAAAGTGCTATCTCAAAACCCAAGTAGGTTGATTCCAATTTTTCTCTAATATAAATAATACTACAATGAACAATCATGGAAATAAATTTTTGAGTGCATCTCTGGATATATCTGCAATATTAATTTCACAGAAAGGAACTTCTGGGGAAAAGGATATAAGCTTTTTCATATTCTCATTAACGTTGCCTATTGTAATTAAGTATGTTAGTAATTGACAGATGAAAATGATATCTCCTTTTTTAATGTTATATATAACTATATATCGATATTACATATATAAACACTACACATGTATACATTAATATATATAATACTGGTGAGGATTATTGGCTCCAATTTTTACCCTACTTACATACACACTCTCTGCTGTATACCTTTGCAGGATACTTTTACAAAAGATGGAGTATATTTCCCTTCCCTTGACTTTGAGCTTCTCAGTGGGATTTTCTTTGGCCTATGAGAAATTAGAAGATATGATGAAAGAGACTTGACATGAGATTTTCTGTCTGGGCATGCTTTCTGGGATTTATGCCATTCTCAGAAGAGGCACATGGCCCCCCTGGCCTGCTGGTCCCAGGAGCATGATGAGGGGCAGGTGGCGTAGTGGTACCCCAGCCAACTTGCAACATGAAGTGGAACCATCCTAGCTAACCCAGAAACTCATGAACAAAAGTAAACACTTATTGCTATATCCCACTGAAAATCCGAGATTATTTATCTGAGTAGTAAGCTACTACATATACCAAAATGGGCCTGTTACTGGGCATAGAGAACAATGAACAAGAAGGCAACAACACGGTTTATACTGCATTGAAGGGGAAAATATACAATATATGAAATATTATCTATATCTCTAGTATCATGTATTGATTTAATTTGAAAAAAGAGTAAATTAATAAAGAATAAAAATTGGCACATCAGGGGTACATCTTTGTTAATGAAGTTGGATACTTTTTATTTTCTTTTCTGAAATTTGTCTTGTAATGTGATGTACAAATTTTTTAGAGTGTTCATCTTTTTCTAATTTGTAATTATGTTCATATGTTACTTACATTTATATATTACATTTTTACATATATTGGCTATTATAAATGTAAATATTTTCCTAATTTGATTAGAGTTTTATATTGTTGTTAAACAGAAATTCTTTACGTTATAATTTAATAGATCTTTGTTTTGTGCTTTCCTGCATGTTTAGAAAATTTTTATATTTCAATTTTTAGAATTAACTAGGATTGTCAGTGATTTATTTTGGTGTCTGATGTGAATTAGGAACCTAACTCTTCTTATCTCTGACAAAAGTTTTAATCACCAATATTTAACTAGTCCAACCTTTCCCAGTTGATGTGAAGTGTTAGCATTGCTATATAACAGGACTTAAGTGATATACTTTTATCGTAGAATAATATTCATCCGGTATTATCCTGCCTTGTAATATTAAATGTTATTGAGAAATACGTATAAAATTACTTTCAATGAAAAAAGCAGGTAACATGTATGACACAATATGTCTCTAATTCTATAAAACCAATATACACACACAAAGATGTGCAAGGAAGATTAGAAATAAATTCAAAATATTAATGATACCTAGCTCTGAGTGGATTAAAGGATAATGGATAATTTTTATTTCTTCTTCACTGTTTTCTATATTATCTACAGTAGATATATAATACTTCTATGATCAGAAAAAAACCTTATATATAAATTATTTTAAAAGAAGAAAACTAAAACAAGGCTTTAATAACTTGAAAAGGTCTATTAACTAGAACTCCAAGTTTATTTGCTTATTTGCATTTTAGATAAAATAACAAATTATTTGTTGATTTTTAAAAATTAATCAGATGAGATATCTATTCAACTTTCACTTAGCCAGAGAAGATCATTAATTTAAATTCTTTCTCTTCTTCCCCCTGAAAGTTATTTCCTAACCATCCTGCTACTATTCTTAGGAGGAAGGTCTATCTTTTGCTTTAGATATAGGTGCTTCCCGATATCGTCACAGAAATGATGCAGAACTAAAAGCACCTGCCTAGAAGGAGTGCTACCTTTGCTTAGAGAAACAAATTTATATTAACATCCCTGTTTCTCCCCTAGAGAGGTTTCTGTAGACACAGAGAGAGCTTCTATGCTTGGAGGGAGGTTGGGCTCCACGGCTTCTGAGGATCCAACCAGTGATGTGGTTATCCACTGCAGCTATATTTGTCTACTACTAAATTATCGAGACAAGGCATGGGGTGAGCCAGCAACTCAGTGGCTGCACTCTTGAGGTGAAGCCCAAATTGAGAAAGGATAGATTTACAAAATGAGTGAAGCACACTTGGCCTCCTTGCTCCATCCCGGGGACACATCTCAACACATCTGAGGTTACGACGTAATAAGGAATAGGAATTAACTATGGCCTCTCCTGCCACATGTCAAAGTTAATTCTATTTTAAATGAGTCTTAATTATGCCAGTGAAGTTTAGAGTTTAATAGAAAGAACCTGTTCACCGAAACTGCAACTTTTATTGTAAGGACTAAGAAAGATTTAAAGTCAGGTTCACTTTAAATATAGTGAGCTTAATTTGAAGGTACAGTACTAATTTTTGAGGCAACAAACCCTATATCTCTCTTACAAAGTGGTAGGCTCATTGTCATTCCCTGTCTGTGAAATTACTCACTCTGGGGAAAACTGGCATCTTCTAGGAAATATTTAGCCTCTGATTGTCTGAACTTGATGTATTCAATTCCTGCACTCAATTTCTTATTCAAATGTATTCTTCTTGTGGAGGATATGAGACCTAGCAACCTTGTAAAAAGTTGTTTTTTCTGTGGCTAAAGCCGCTCATTTTTTGAAAGCCTACTGTGTGCCAGGCAATGAACTATGGGTTTTATAGATATTTATTTTTTACTGTGATATAGTTGACGTATAACATTATATTAGTTTCAGATGTAAAACATAATGATTTGATGTATGTGTTTATTGCAGAATAATCACCACACTATGTCTTGTTAACATCCATCATTACGTGTAGTTACAATTTTTTTTATTAGTTATAGCATCACTGTACGGAAGATATAGTCAGTTCTGGTTTTTTTTCAGATGAAGAAATTGAGATACAAAGAAGCAAATAACATACTTAAGGTTACACCACTTATAAATGCCTTAACTGGGACTCGAACTCACATCTTTTTGACACCAATACTGGAAATTCTTCCCATATAGTACATCATCTCCCACAAGGGAAGCCAAAATCTGATCTCACTGCTGCATTATGCCACTTTTATGGAGATGCACACATTGACAATTACTTATGCTTATGTGGCTAATTTGGTCTAAGTATGTGGACATATATGGACAGGACCTATCCTATGTATGTGAATTAGATGGAAGTCTACTTAAATCATTCATTTTGCGGGTTAGCAAACTAACAGTTGTTACCTGTTAGTCTACCATTGTGTATTTTTTCTAAGATTTTATATTTTTAGAGCAGTTTTAGGTTTACAACAAAATTGAGAGGAAGGTAAAGGATTTCTCTATACTCCCTGCCCCGACATGATCATGGCTTCTCCTATTATCTACCTCAGGGAGAGGAGGTGGGCAGAACTGTAAGGAGAAGCCTGGGTGTCCACACATGTGCTTGGAAAGGTGTCAGACTGCAGGAGCGGGAAGTTGGAAGAGAAGTCAAACCAACCACAGGCCAGGGATGGGGGCTAGATTTCCCTCTTCTCTCAAGTTCTGGGGAAGATTTCAAAGCAATACGAATAGTAGATAATGATTATTTTTAAATATTTTTATTGTAAAGAATTTACTTTTTAAGAGGAGTTTTAGATTTATAAGAAAATTGAGAGGAAGGTAAAGAGATTTCCTATACACCCCCTGCCCCCATATGTACATGGCTTCTCCCATTGTCAACATGAGTCATAGGAACGGTAGATTTCTCACCAAGGATGAACCTACATTGATACATCATAATCACCCAAAGTCCACAGTTTGCCTTAGGGTTCACTCTTGGTGTACATTCTATGGGTTTGGACAACTCTCTATCCATCTTTATAATATCATGCGGAGTATTTTGACTGCCCAAAAAATGTTCTGTGCTCTTGCCTGTTCATCTTGCCCCTGTTCACTCCCTCCCATAACCACTCATCCTTTGTTGTCACCATAGTTTTGCCTTTTCTGAACTATCATATAGTTGGGATCATACAGTATATATCCTTTTCAAATTAGCTTCTTTCACTTAGTAATATGCATTTAAGCTTCCTCCATATCTTTTCATAGATTACCAGCTCATTTCCTTTTAGCACTGAATAATAGCCTATTGTCTGGATGTACCACAGTTTACCTACTGAAGTGTATCTTGGTTGCTTCCAAGTTTTGGCATTTATAAAGAAAGCTGCTATAAGCATTCATGTCAGGTTTTTGCATGGACATGGATTTTCAGCTCCCTGGGGTAAATACCAAAGAGTACAATTGCTGGATTATAAGATAAGAGTATGTTTAGTTTTGTAAGAAACTGCTAAATTGCCTTCCAAAGTGGCTGATCCATTTTGCATTCCCACCAGCAAAGTATAAGAGTTCCTGTTGCTCCACATTCTTACCAGCATGCGGTGTTGTCAGTGTTCCAGATTTTGGCCATTCTACTAGGTGTAGTGGTATCTCATTGTTATAATTTTCCATTTCCCTGATGACATATGATGTAAATCATCTTTTCATATGCTTATTCATCTTCTGTATATCTTCTTTGGTGAGGTGACTGTTAAGGTCTTTGGCCTAGTTTTTAATTGGATCATTTGTTTGCTTATTATTGAGTTTTAAGTGTTCTTTGTATATTTTAGATAGTAGTCTTTCATCAGAGTGTCTTTTGCAAATAGTTTCTCCAAACCTTTGGCTTGTCTTTTAATTCTCTTGATATTGTCTTTTACAGGAAAGAAGTTTTTAATTTTAACAAAATCCAGCTTATCAATGATTTCTTTCATTGATTGTGTCTTTGGTGTTGTGTCTAAAAAGACATCATGATACCCAAGGTCATTGAGGTTTTCTCCTCAGTTATCTTCCAAGAGTTTTATAGTTCTACATCTTACATTTAGATCTATGATCAATTTTGTGTTAATTTTTGTGAAAGGTGTAAGGTCTGTGTCTAGTTTCATATTTTTGCATGTGGATGTCCAGTTCTTCCATGACCATTTGCTGAAAAGACTATCTTTGGTCCATTGTATTGCCTTTGCTGCTTTGTCAAAGATAAGTTGACTATATTTATTGGGGGTCTATTTCTGGGCTGTCTGTTCTGTTCCATTGATCTATTTTCCTATTCTTTTGCCAATACCACATTGTATTGATTACTGCAACTTCTAGTAAGTCTGAAGTTGGGAAGTATCAGTCCTCAACTTTGTTCTTCTTCTTTAATATTGTGTTGGCTATTCTGTCTTTTTGGCTTCTCCATATAAACTTAGGAATTAGTTTACCAATAT